CTGCCAGGGCTGCCTTCCCCGGGCCACGTGTTCGCCTCATTCTCTGCTCTCTGCATTGCCTGTCCTGGAGCCACACACGTCCTGCCTGCCTTCCCTGGGCCACGTCCTAGCCTCATTCTCTGCTCTCTCCACTGCCTGCTCTGGCCACACATGTCCTGCCCTGCCTTCCCTGGGAAAGTTCTCGCCTCATTCTCTGCTCTCTTCACAGGTCTGGAGGCCTGTACTCAGAAACGTGCTAGAAACAAACCCTGTGAGTGTGGTCTGGGACTCCAGAGCCCCTCACCCTCCATCACCATGGAAGGAAAAGGTGCCAAAGGGATGCTGGTGAATACAGGGACCAGGCTGCAGCAAGGGGTGGGGGTCATGAGCACTGGCTGTCCCTTCTGTGGCCTGCTGTCAGCTTCTGGCCCTGACAGGAGGGCCTAGGAGGCTCCAGGGGGCCCCAAGTCTGGCACTGCCAGGACCCTGAGTGCTAGGGCTATCGCAGGCCCAGGCAGGGAGCCCCTCACCCAGCAGGTTAGATGCTGCCGTGGTTCAGAGCCCACAGCAGGCAGATTCTGCTACAGAGCCCGAAAGGCATGCTGGGAGGCAGGAAGCACAGTCCTGTGCTTCTCATCACAAGATGCCCTGGAGGGCAGGCTGCCATCAGTCCTGCCAGGAGGGCTGTCCTGGGGCTGACACCCTGGCACCCTCATCCTGTGCTCTGCCTGCTGGGGGGAGCATTCATGTAGGGGTTGGTCAAGGAGTCCTCAGAGACTGATTTTTCCCTTCTTCCACTCTAAAAATAGCATAGAACATTTCATGTTGAATCCTTTAGTGAGGTCTTTCAGGAAACATCCCTCTCCCTTTTCCCCAGGTCACAGCTCTTCACTGCCCACTGCCTCAGAGCACAGGAGAGGTGGTGCGAGCAGAAGATAAGAGCAGGGCCAACTCATGGATGGATGGCTCATGGATGCATGGAGCTGGCCAGCTCTGGAATCAGAAGCCAGGAAGATACCCCAAGGGCGGTCATTGTATTCCTTCTCTGGGGGTATTGCCTCAAGAAGCAGTGAGACTGGGTAGCCGCCGGGGAGGAAGCCGATCACAGAGCATGGCCCCGCCCTTGGCTCCTCCCTTCCCCACACGGATTCTCCTGTTGCTGTTCTCATTTGGTGAGAGACTGATGACCTCGGGTCTCTTGCTGAGCCCTCCTCAAACAAGCCCTGTCTCTCACCAGGGATTTCTGGGACACGTAAGACCTCGGTCCAGAGAAAAGCTGCTGGGGAGGGAGCAAACAGGTGTGCCCCAGGCTCTGGACCCTCTCTCTTTTGCTTGGCTCTGAACTTCCAGCATCCAGCCCCTCAGGCCCGCTCTGGTCTGCCCACTCCTGATTGGAATAAGTCTGTATGAATTAGGCTTCTCAAAGTATTCCTGAGCCAGCCTGAGCTGTTTAGTGTTCAGATGTGGGCAGAGATGGAGGTCTCAAGATCCGCATACTTGCTAGGGGGCGAGTAGATGCTGTGATAGGATCCAGACTGGCTTCCTTCTCGCCAGACATGCTGGAATTGCCATGGGCCTGTAGCAGAAAGTGGAGTGTGGCTCTGCCCGTCCCTCCATGGAGATTCTGAGTCCCATGAAAGTTAAGAAACCCTCTGAGTGACCCTGAAAGGACTGGGGCAGGTAGGCAGGGGTGATGTGGGACCCACGTGGGCAGCACAGAGAGCCTGAATCCCAAGGTCCCAGAACCGCTGCCGGGGCTGAGCTTCCCAGCACCCAGGCTCTGCCAGCTAGCCCATCTGTGGAAGGGAATGCCACCTTGGGACACCTGTTCCCAGCACCAGGATGTTCCTAAAGATAGCCAGAGCATAGTTTCCTTCGTGCCCTTTGACCTTTGACATCTGCCCATTGCTGCTGCGTCTGAGGCTCCATAGCAGGTCCCCTGGGCACCCCTAGTGGTTGCTCGAGATTCTATTCCTGCGTCTTTCTCAGTTCTGCTTATGACCCTGGGCTACACTGTCCTCAGGACTCAGGTGGAACCAGTGCTGCCTCCACGTAGCGCTGTCTCTGAGGAGCGCCGTCCCTCTTCGCTAACCTGGGCAGCTGCACCTGGACTTCTTTAGCTGCCGTGGTCCCCAGAGGGCAGATCATGCGGATGCTCCTTCTCTAAAGGCCGTGGTGGGGCAGAGCAGAGGGAGCTGAGGGCCATGCGTGTAAACCAGGGGCACTGGGGCCCTCCCAGGTCTGTGACTCCTGCTGCCATTTGTGTCCTGGGATGCAGGAGTGGGTAGCTGGCCCTGGCCACGAGGTCCTCCCTTCCACCCCCCTTTGCCCAGGCTTGGGCGTGAAGACGTGGGCCCCCGCGTCTCCTCAGTGTCTACCATGTGTCATCCTCGGCGCTTCTGCTGGGCTCTCCATGTGGCAGGTGCCCCTTGGAGGTTAAGTCACTTCCCAGCACGTGCCCAGGCCCACCTGCCTGCCGCACCTGTTCCTCCCCCTGACTCCCAGCCCAGATGGTCTCTGCCAGGCCAGCTCAGCTGCCTCCTTCACTCCTCAGCAGCTCCTAGGACAGGGCCATGCAGGAACCCAGCTGGCCAGGGTGCTTCAAAGCCTGGGAGCAGCTGGGATGCTTGGTGGCACCAGGGGTGGGGCTGGGGGTGGGGTGATTCCTTTCATGGAGACCTAGTACCTCTATTTATACACATGTAGGGGCAGGTTGCCTGGGGCTCAGAGGACAGGGAGCTTGTAGAGAGGGGCCCAGGACAGGAAAGCCCCACTGGGTCAGCTTTAGTCCCGTGGTCTCACACAAAGTCCAACTCAGTCCCCTTCCCGCTGGGCATGGAGGAGCTCCTGGTCTCAGGCTGACACTTCCACAGCTACCTGTGGTAGGGGTCAGCCCATGAGGGCTGCAGAAGCCCAGGAAGCACGTGCCAGTCCTGGGAGCTGGGTTCAGTCTGGGTTCTAGAGCACGAGGAACAGACTCCCAGACCGATACAAAGAGAAGCGCTTTACAGGAAGAGGGAGAACTACCGGCAGATAGGAGTGGATGCAAAGACTTCATCCAGTGGCCAGTTTTCCCTCAGGCTGGGATAGCCAGCATGTGAGGACTGGGTTAGAGAGGGCTAGGGATTGAATGAGGTAAATGAGCAGCAGTGTGTTCATCCGTGAATGGTAGCAACTTATGTCTCACACATCCTTATGAAGCGGGTGATGGCCCCATTTTGCAGATGATGATACTAAAGCTCAAAAAAGATGATTGACTTTCTCAGACTCACACACAGGAAAGGGTGGCACAACCCATGTGCAATCCCAGGCTCCAGATCTCCTTTTAGTACCATCTTGTGTTGCCTTTGTGAGAAAGCACAAAAATTGTCTAGGAGAAGTGGCTTTTGTGTCCTGAAGGCCCGGGGTGAAGCAGCATGGGAGAGTGAGGTTGACTTCATCTGCCAACAGCTGTCACCAGGACCTCAGCATCATCAAGGACTAGCTAAACGTGTCCCACGTTGACCAGGCTTCTGGATACCTGTGGTGAGACCCCCAAGAGTGTGCAATGTGGGTGGAGACAGGGAGGATGGGACTGCAGATGGACCCTGATGTACTGGGACTACTGGGAGGAGAAGGGAGGGAACACACCTGGCCGGGAGACCCAGGAGAATGGGGCTGAGAGGTGGAAAGGGCAGGATGCTGATGAGGTTGCTGCCAGGAATCAGTCAAGTACAGATGCCTACATGGGCCTTGGCTTGAGGACTTTTATTCTGGGAGGTGGAGAAGAGATGACACACAGAAGTTTTTAAAGCAGGGGCATGGCTGTGATGCGGGAGAGGATGGAGTCAGGAGGACCTGCAAGTCTAGTCCCATCATGTAGAAGGGAGACTGCTGCTCCCCAGGGTGGGCACTGGGAGGCGGGCAATGAAACAGGACACACCCTGCCCAGAAAGAAGCAGGCGGGGCTGCAAGGCTGTGCTGGAACAGCATGAGGGCAGCAGAGGGAGAGGTGGACTGACATAGGAGGGCCTAGAGGAGGCTCCTGGGGAGGTTGGAGGTTGGGATCACGTGGAGGGATCTGCTGAGACCCTGGCCTGCAGTGCTGCTTCTGATGCTGCACTGTCCATGTCCCAGGGCCCTCCTGGAAGAAGAGTGCTGTGCATTGGAGAGGGAGATTCCCATCCTGCAGGTGAACTGCAGTCCTGGTCCACCCTGCCTCAGCCCTGCTGCTGAGTGTAGACACCCCTGTCTCTCACCCAGGGCATGAGATCCACACACGTGTGTGTCTGTGTGTCTGTGCCTGCAGAGGCTGTATGAACCCTGGGTCCGTTTTTCCTGTGTGCACACTTCTTATGTGTGTGATCCATAAGTACGTGAACCCATATTCCAGTTGAGTCCCTAAGCCCGAGGTCAGCACTTTTAGATCAACTGCTGGGTCTGCCTAGGTCTTTTACCTCCTTCTCTTCCCCAAGTCTGGGTTCAGGCCTGCCACCCCCTTGCCAAGCTCAGCTTTTCAGGGAGAGGCTGGTGTTCCTCTCAGGAGTGCCCCCAGGTGGTTGGGAGGAAGAGTGCACATGCTGGTTCCTGCACCTGACCATGGGGATCCTGGCCTGGGCACCCTGCCCCGCCCCTGCTGTAAATCTAGGGACTGAGCCAGCTCTCCCTGCAATGCTGTCTGGAAGATGAGTATTCAGGGGCGCCCTGGCCCTCTGAGGCAAGCCTAGAGCCCACCCTGGCAGGTGAGGACCCTAGCAAGTCCCAGAGCACCCAGCACTGCACTCCCCCCACTTCCCCCCTACCCACACCCATCCCACCTTGCTCTTGCAACACACCCTGGAAGACTGGGCGCTGTGTCTCAGGCAGAACCTCTCCTCCAGAGCTAAAGGAAGAGAAGGCAGCCAGGCAACAGGAGCTGCAGGCACCCCTGAGTCCTTCCTGTGTCTCCCCCAGCCACAGGTAACCCAGAGCAGACAGACAGCTGGATGGGGCAGGCTAAGGGGCAGGCCACGGCCCCCTCACAGTTACTCCCTCCCATTCAGGCCACAGCCCTTGGGGTCCTCCAGCCAGGGCACTGGACTCCTGCCTTGCCTCTACGGGGCTGCTGGAGTTTGGGCCAGGCTTCTCCAGTGCTGCCTGCCCGCTCCCCTTTGGAGCGCTGCCCCAAACCTCGCGGCCTGGCCACCACCTGCTGCTGAGGATGGAAGATTCAGTGCCTCCCCGGGAAAAGGCCAGCTTCTACTCTGACGTCCAGTGCAGCGCCCCAGGCCCCAACCTGAAGGGCTGCTCAGGAAGGAGGCTTCAGCTTCAGCTGGAACTCATCCTGTCTGTTCCTGCTCTCTTTCAGCTGCCAGGGTCCAGCCCACTTCTGATCTAGTCTAGGATGAGCCCTCCCCAGGAGTCCAGCTGTCTGTCTGTCCCTCACCCTACCTTCTCAGCAGGTCCTCAGTGTCCGGTCCTGACTGTCACAGCCTCTGGCCTTTCTCCTCCCAGGCATCCCCCCAAAGGCCTGGCAGGAGGAGGTCTTGTCCCAGCCCTGACTCATGTCCCGCTGGAGGACCCAGACAAAGCAGAGCAGCAGCTCCGAGACAGGAATAGAAATTTCATTAAAATCTATGGACTTTAAAAACCTAGTGGTACGTTGTCATGTTCTTACAGACCGGGACCTGGGGACTGGAGTCGATGAGAAGAGGGACGCAGGGGACCCAAGTCTCGAGTAAAACAAGGGTGGTTTATTTGCAGAAATGCATGTTTTTATATCTTCATACAAGGCAGATTTAGGCAGTAAAGCAAATTGAACAAAAACAAAGCCAAGCAAATAACAATCTTCAAAGGGCCAGAAAGCATTCCATAGCTTGAGTAAGAGGGGCATAACTGAATAGATTACATTTAAGGTCATGTCACTGAAGGGAGTCACTGTAAGGAATCCAAGCAGGTGCCCTCTCTCATGATCTCAGTCCTTAGAACTGTGTGGAGCTCTGCTCATTCCTGTTTTCCAGGAACTGATAAGGAATAGAGAATCCCTGAGAAATGGCACACAAAAGAAAATAATAATATATTGATCCCTTAACGCTGAACGTCCCCTGACAATATGCAGATGGTTGGGGGTGGCAGGCACACCGTTATTCCTACAGAGGATTAGAGGCTGCTCTTCCGGGGCTGTCATTGCATAGAGGGGCACGGAGGACGGACACACGGACACTGCAGGGCTTGGGGGAAGGAGTTTTTGCTCCAGAGAGGGGTTGGGGCACACAGGCTGGGGCAACTTGGCACGTGAACAAGGGTAGCCCAGTTCGGGAAGACTGGACTTTAGCCTGGCAGTGGTAGGGCAAGGGAGTGTTGTGTAGAGGTCACTTACTCGGGACTCTGGGCTCAAACCTCCTGCTGAGCATCACCCCATCTCTACCCCCAGAAACGAGTTCTTTGGGTGGGCTGTTGGGTCATGGGCCTCTGCCAGGTTGGCCCTGACAGCCAGTGCTGGAAGGAGGTGCAGGGACCTCAGAGCTGCCGAGGGACTTGCAGGTGGGCCTGGAAGACAGATTGGGCCCAAGGCCAAGGGCGAGGGGGTAGCAACCACAGACAATACAATTTTTACAAAACTAATCACACAGACAAAAGGGCCGGGCTGCACAGTCTGACCCATAGCACTGCACAGCACCCCGGCCCCTCACTCTGCCTCCAGGTAGGAAGATCTGAATTAGGTTGGGCGGAGGCTGGGGTCCACCCCAAGGGTGGGGACGCTGGTCAGGAGGCTGAAGGCTCAGGGACAGGTAGGGGCCAGCCCAGAACCTCAGCTCAGGGCAAAGTGTGGGGGCCTCAGAGGCCACGTGGAGCCCACCAGGCGTCTGGGGACCTGACTTGAGACCCTTCCAACCCCACACCACCCACTCCCCCCAGCTGCCATTTTGGCATCTAAAGGACCTGTAAACACTAGGGAGACAACTATGAATGACCGTGCTAGCAGTGGTGGCCAAGGTGACAGGTGCCACCACTGGCCAGGGCATGGTGGGGGCAGGCGGTGACACCTACCCGCTGTCTCCCCAGTCTCTGTTGGGAGCACAGGGTGGGGGTGGGGCAGCTCCCCCCAGGTTGGGGAGCACAGCTGTGGTTGTACTTGGGAGTCCTGCAGACGGCTGGAACCCTTACTGCCCACCATGGGAACCTGGGCCTTGTCCAGGGACAGTGGTCAGAACTCAAGCCTATCTTAAGAGGAGGGTGGAATGGTGGGGGCGTAGTGCCCCATTCAGTGCTCCAGGGGGAGGGAACCCCAGTCTCCGCTTTTTTTTTTTTTTTTTTTTTTTGCATTTTTCAAACACTGCAGGAGAGGTACGCATGGAGGAGAGATGGGCAGGCAGAGTGCATCAGAAGGGAGCCCTGGAGCGCTATCCATCCAAGCACCCCCTTCTGATTCACTTGGCTGCCCCTGCCCCCACCCCTCACCTGGAGAAGGGTATCCCCATCTGTTCTCCTTAAGTGGGACAGGGTGCAGAGTGGTATGCACATGCTCAGAGGACAGAGCCATAAGGAAGTCAATGACCTCGGGCCAGGTTGGACACCTGTATTGGCTATTTAAGTGATTGGCTGGTACTAGATCACTGAGAAGATGAGAATCAACTGCAAAGAGTGGGGGTTGGGAGTGGGCATGAGTCCTGCCCAGCCCCACCCAGGCGTTAGGCCTCCTATCAGCACTGTTACCCTCCCTCTCCACTTTCCCAGACTAGAAAGAGGCATTTCAGGGAGGGCAGGTGTGACATCAATGTTTGGGTAGCAGAAGAAGCTGATGGCACCAGGGGTCCAGGGCATGATGGGCAGGTGGACACTGTGGAGGGGGAAGGGTCTGGCTTCTGGATAATCCTGAAGCAGGCAAGAAACTGTTCAGCTGCAGTGGCCCTTGGAAGTCAGTTCTACTCAAAGACTTGCAGTGCCCCGCCGCCCCGCCTGCTGAATTAAGGCTAAATCCATGGCCTTTAAGGCTTCAATGGCATTTCCCATCTACTAAGCATTTTTTGAATGTTTCCTCCAGATCTGGGAGCTCCTGGGATTGCATCAGCTCTAGGTCTCCAGTGCCCAGCACACAGCACCTGGCACAATCTCCTGTGCTGATCTGAACTGATTTATGCAGGGAGCTGGGAGCAATGGGAAAAGGAAAGGGAGACATCCTGTCAGTCTATGGCTGCAGAGATGGCAATGGACAGCTGGGGGAGGCTTTGAAGTTTAGAGACCGTGTCAGGCTGGGGGTGCTCTCAGGAACCACTTTGTAAAGAGCCGAGGGACACCAGAGATAAAGCTTAGGGCTGCAGCAACAAAAAATACTACAGGAAGCAGGAAGATGGGCAGGTAGCTCATGGGCCACCTGGAGGCCTGGGGCCTGGGGTGCTACTTGACAGGAGGCCATAGCGTACGCTTCCCAAGCCTTCAGCCGCATCCTGGAGCTCAGGCCCTTCCAGACTTTTTAGTGACTAAATTCTAGAAGTCAAGACCTGCATCCATCCAAGGGACGCTGCACTTAGAGGAGCATATAACAAGTTTCCTGAGTGGAACTAGAGCCTGATCTAATGTGTAGACAGATTCTTTGGTTGAGCTGATAGAAGGATGGTGTTTGTAAAAAAAAAAAAAAAATTCAGCACTATGAAGAAGTAAAGCCTCCAAAAGGAAACTAATAGCCCAGAAGCATGCATCCACAGAACCTGGCATCCTCACCCAAAGGTGATTCCAGCCTGGCTTTCTGAGCACAGAGGAAGCTGTGGGCTTTGCCTCAGTTTCCTGGAGACACCGGACCCAGGCTGCCTCCTGCCTCCTGCCTGGGTGGTGCCCTGGGTCTCCCCACAGGGCGGCAGCTTCCTGGAGCCCTGGAGGATGAGCTTCCCCAGGGCGGGTCCTGGGTCAAAGCTACAACCCCCAAGGCACAGCGCTTGGTGGTGGCATCTGCCCTCCCCCGCCTCCCACCACTTACAGGACAGTTTCACGCCTCCTGTTTCAAAGCTGGGCCTGTGGCTAGACCTGGTGCCTGTGCCAGGCTTGGGAAGATCCCACACCCCATGTGATGGAGGCCTCAGACCTCAGGGCTTTTTTTTCCCCCAGAAACATGAGCCAAAGTGGAAATCTGGTGCTGACCTCTCTGCGGCACAGAGGAACTGGCACAGAGGACCCGACTCCAGACACTGCCCTGACCATTGGGCTGACCCCTCTGTCACTCAGAGATGGCCCTGCCTCTTCTCTGTGGAGGGACCATAATGCTGGTAGCTAAAAGACAAGGAAGGGAAAAGTCCGTGAAAATAGAACAAAGGAAGGTCGAAGGACTAGAGTGAGGACCTCAGGTAGAACAAACAGCACTCCTGGCTCATCCAGTTTCCATAGGGCAGGCCCAGGGGGGAGGAAAAAATATAAAAGAGGAGCCAGAGAGCCAGGGCTCTCTCTTCTCTTAGTGTCTCTGGGTCCACATGCCCTCCTGCCTTGAGGGTGTATTTTCCTTCTCTTTTCTAAATAAAACTGAGCTGTAACACGGAGCTGTAACACTGATCTGTCTAAGAGCTATAACACAGTCTGTTCAACACCCAAGAGCTATAAAACTGTGTGTCCAAGAGCTGTGATGCACTGAGGGCTTTAATGTCCGTCATTTCAAACTTTGGTTGAGACGAGACAGAACCAAGGAGATTACATTCGCCTGACAATGAAAAGTACAAAGGGATCATAAAATATTCCACAGCCTGCATTTTCAGCTAAGACTGAGAAAACTCTCAAATTCCAGACTATGTTTAAGTGTGAGGGTGAAAGATCATCCCAAACTAGCAGAACAGGTGCAGAAAGCCATAAAGGTAAGAAGAACGGAGTTTTCAGAAAGGTCTTGGCTTTGGCAAAATGGTTTAGAAACCATTCACAAATATTTTCCTACGGAAGAGGCTCTCAGGACTTCCCTGGTGGTCCAGTGGTTAAGAATCCACCTGCCAATGCAGGGGACACAGATTGGATCCCTGGCCCAGGAAGATCCCATATGCCGAAGAGCAAGTAAGCCTATGCACCACAACTACTGAGCCCACTCTCTTAAAGCCCATGCTCCAGCCAGAGAAGTCATTGCAATGAGGAGCCCACTCACCACAACTAGAGAAAGACTGTGTGCTGCAACAAAGACCCACCACAACCAAAGATAAATTTAAAAATTTTAGAGGTACTAATTTGGCGGGGGCGGGGGAGAGGCTCTCATCTGAGTAGGAATGCAGTGGCTAAGTCTGAGATTAAGCATTGGAGGA